GCGAGTTCATGTGTGATCTTCTTCATGTTCCCTCAAGGATCACCTGTATGGAGAATGTTTCTATCTATGGCTATTATCAACATTTTTGGAGTTGATGCCGTAATATACCTAATATTGAATAGAGAGGTTCCATCTAATATTTAATTAGAATATTCTTACTTGTTTCATGAAGATCCGATCCCAGCTACATCCAATAAAGGATTTCTTTTATCATTTTTTTTCTTCGAAACTCAGGTAATCAATATGTTTCCCTATCCCCTTTCTCTTTTCGGAATGTTCTGCACTTGATTCAAAAATAGACTTCAACTCGATGCTAAATGTGTTTGTTTCACATAATGTTTGAAATCCAAAGATTTGAATTTCCAGAAAAATTCATCCAACTTTTATATTCCACAGAAGATTCCACGGTCATGTTGATAAAGAAACATTTTCCAGAATGAAGATATATCCTTATGCAAGACGTTCAACAGAACAATCAATCCAAGTGAAAACAAAGCAGATCTCTAAGTGATCTCGCTTATTCAGTTGTCGGTAATGCAACTCAGAATTCGAATTGTCCTCTGATTGTTATGTAACTATACAAACGATTCTCAACCCTTTCGTCTGTATAGCTCCGAACATGTTCATGCTTATTGAAATAAAATAGTTAAGAGATATTTACTGAATCATCGACAATTTTATTTTAAATTCTCTTTGAGCCTCGGACTCACGTGATATTTGTTTTGTTTTCCAGCCATAGAACTCGCAATAGTTGATTGACTAATTGTTTCTACCTGTTATGAATGTGATGTGATAGGTGATTTGGATTGCAACACGAGTTGTTCATGTGGAAATGGGATGATGCAGCTCATAAAAAACACCAAAATGCTGTTGAATAAAATAATATCGAATCATCTGAAAGAGAAATCCATTCATTTGACAATATCCAGAAATACATAGAATTAGGTAATAACTGAAAAAAGCGATGAGCTAGAGATTTGTGTATTCTTTTTCATTGGTTTCATTCTTTAGATTGAAGAAAATGTACCTTTTGATGGGATGCCGATGATTGCTGGTATCATCAATAGTATCGCTGACATAGGGAACACTATCATTTCACAAATAGTCTAAAGATTATAGTTTTCCTTTGGTGCAGATATAGTGTTTAAGCAGTGAGAGAACTTCAAGTATTAGCCTCTCCTGACTTTTCAAATACTCAGAAGAAAATTCAATTTTTAGTTTTCAAATCGTAGGGGAGAATAATTTTGAATAGAGTATAGTTCGCTGTATTGTGATGATGCAGAACACCGTATTTGAATTGTGTTGAACGCAGTACATATCGCGAAATTGCATCTGGTACACCGTCATGATACTTCTCGAAGAGCTGGTAAGGAAGTATAGATCATCAACGTTACAAACCGTACAACAATCTTGAAACAATTCTCTAGAATTCCAATTATTATTTGAACGGAAACAAACCGTGAAGATAGATTTCGAGAGGTAGAAGAGTGGAAAAATTTATTAATAACAATCTAAGCAGTTTTTCACATATTGCTAAAGCAGATTGACTCTATAAGTGATCTATCAAACGTATACTTATATGATTGAAAAGTTTATTAGGATATCCACACAACATGCAAGCTTCACAGTAGGTACAGTCATGAGAGTCTAACAAGCGTGGGATAAGCAAGCCCTAAAGAAATCAAGAATGGTTGCTGATATTTTATTTGTATTGATGTGTAACAACAAAAACGTTTCTGCTGAGAGCATCTAACAAAGAAATTTCGAAGTTGTTTTCTGATTTTTCAACTCAACGAAACTTGTGCTCCATGAATATACCAAAATACAACTCAAAACGATAGAGTTTTGAAGAAAATAAATGAAAAAGTGGTTGACTTTCATGAAAGTTGTCTCGAATGCAGCATTGTGTTCTGAGTTCATAAGTATTTGAGCTATGTATTGAAAAGTAATTAATAATAGAGATATCACCGGCAATATTTTATTCGAAACCAAAAGTACACAATGACAGTGGATCAAGCTGAATGTAAGACATTCGTTTCGAAGATCTTAAAAAACCAATCGGAACATATAGCGACTATGATAACAAGAGAGATTCAAACCAAGCTCTTGGACATCATCACTTATACCCCCCAGTGGTTGTACTGTCACACACAAGTACACTCCGTACATATCAATTAATTGTAGACCAAGGCGTGTTTGTTGAGCGGTTGGTTTTGTGGTGAAGCTTAAAAAACTGTGTACTCGACAACGAAAAAGTGCCTAACAGGAGCCGATGATGCAAATTATATATGAACCATTCACTCTTCAACCAGAAGCGTATCAATACGTAGTTCGCCTCTCAAAAATCTACTCGTAGTTTTCATTGCCGATAGAATGCCGGTATCAAAGGGTCATCTAGAGAAAAAACTCTTTTCTTCGTTCACATAGTTAAGCAGTTAACACTGTGTACAGCAGAAAAATATGAAATGAGAAAAACTTTTAAACATTGAACTATGTAAGTTTGCCATCTACGTAGCGGAGATGTTTATCTTTTGTTGTGTTTTTTTTACAAAGAACTTCAGCATTCTTTGCAGAAAATTTTGCAGAAAAAGTTTTCTCCTTACTAGTTCCTTGATTTCACCCTTTTGTGTGTTAATCTTCGTGATTCTCGTTCCTTGATAACTTCTGACGGATAGCTCTTAGCAGAACATCTTAGATCTCTTTATCTTTGAAAATAAGAAGAAACGAAAAAAATTCCAGTAAACTCAGTTTTTCATAGAGTTGTTTCCTCTCTTACCTTTTAAGGATGCAATCATTAAAGACTATGCAAGCTTCACTACAGTTAAAAACCGGATCCGCCTTTGTGGTAGTCAGAAATTCTTCTTTTCATTCGTGTGTCTCAGCTTATCCGTTGGGATTTGCGATTTCTTCGGAAGAAGGAAAGAATGGTTGTTTGTGTAACAGTAAAGTTAAAAGAGACAACCGAGTACTAATGAACCCATCAGAGCTTCGTGTGTTCTATTAAACTAACCGGTATAACGGAATTGTTCTGTCCGTAGCATAGTCGAGGTCAAGAACAAGCCTCTCTTCGAATTGATACAATACTGAGAAGTGACTTAGTTTTGATTTTTCCGTTATACATTTGTGTTTTGTATATTGCTTCATCTCTCAATGTTAATGACCATTTAGTGTTGGCAATTGAATATACAACTCATTCATCTCAATCATCTTTTGATTTTCACAAAAATGTTTTTTTCATTTATAGTACGAGACTTTCTACTTCAACAGCCTTCTTTCATTCTTTACTCTTCATTTTTCTTTTCATTTTTTTGCCCTTTAAACTATCTCGATTCCCGTTTAGTCTTACTAACACTCATCCTGCTACTCTCAATTTCGCATACCAGCTTCCTCCGGACTTTTTATGATTTTCAACAAAAACATTAACGTACAAGGGGGCAGAGAATTTGTCTCTCATTGTTTGTTTCATATTATATCCAATGTTTTATAGATGAACCATCTTCATCCAATTCTCATTGTTGGTTTCGCGTTGATGACCTTTCATACAGAGAGAGAGAGAGAGAGAGAGACAGAGAGAGAAAGGAAGAGAGAGAGAAAAGAAAAAAATTAGAGAAAATAAGAGAATAACTCTTTATATGCTTTGTTATTATTCTTTAAGCTTTTTCCTTATTCGAATTTCATTCGCATAAACACATGACAATGATGATGCCGAGGCGATAAGCATCTCAGACAATTAAATGCAGAATCATATCATTTCTTCTTATTTTTCAACAAAGCTCATGACATGGTCATGTCGTGAAATTTTTTTTCTTCCCCTCTACCCTCTTCACCCCCACCGTCACAATATCAGTCTTTTTTTCTATCCATTTTTCTCTATCATATCACATGATATACCATCCATCACCGGGATAAAGCTTGAAATTGTATTTTTCATCACACTTATATGGTTCATGATCACTTCCTATCCATTCCATTCAATCTAACTCTTCATGCTAATATGAGCAAAGTGATCGCCATCAAGAAGTTTCTTCTCGCTCATTAGGCACACCTAAGCTTATCTAAATTAGTAATTATTGACAACAACTGATCTCTGGGAATCTTTTAACGGTTAAACTTCTATCTTTCATTCATCGTCCTCTTGCATTTCATTGAAGGTCTTTGTTTCTTCATCTGTGTTCTTTTCAATTTCTTATCACCTTGTTCATTACCTCGCAAACATCTCAAAATAGTTCGTTAAAGACTTTTATAGTCATTGTTGGTTTAGTTCTTATGGGGAGGAAATGAGAAAAACCATTTCGTTTAAGTAATCAAAGAACAACTCATATTGCATTGAAAGTAACATCTCTCATTTCAGTTTGTTGTTTCAATCTTTCTCATCTTTATGCTAATTTTTACGTGAAAATGACGTCGAGAAAAATTTTATTCACGCATTTCATCCACAGTAGACTCTCGAGACGGTTGTTTTTCACCTTTCAACCTCCATCATCCTCCATTAACTATCTCATTTTCTCTTTCTCACCCTCTGTTCCTTTCTCTATCTCTCTCGAACACTCACCTCCGATCTCTTGGTGAATGTACCTTTTTCATATTTGATGATTCTTATAATCATATCATCTGGATACTTGTTCAACTTTGGTCAATCTCTCAATCTTTCCTTGTTGTCATAAACAACCAACATGCTCAAGTTGGATTTTCGTTTTCACAAATCTTCTATTGCGCAGTCTTTATACTTTGATTAAGCATTCTCAAAATGAAATTGAAAGATATACGTTTGTACGCTTGATATTGGCAAAACTTGAAATTAAAATTGTTTGGCAGTTTTCCGTGAAAGGACATCGTCCTCACGAATTGAGACATCTTCAGATTCTTGTTGATAAGATAAAACGTCTTCCCCTTATTGTTCACTAGAATGTTCTTCAATTTGTGATCATATCATACACATATCACATACACACTGTTCAGGTAAACGATTGGATTGGATAGGAAACATATTTTGAGACTAAATGTTATTAAAACGAGATGTATGTTTGTGTTTTCTCTTTTCAATTTCAAAGCTTCTTCTTATACTTTCAGATTTCAACAATATTAATTTATATTATCAATATAATTAGTGGAGTGTATTGTGATGAAGCTCTGACTAAGCTTAACTCTAAACGAGCCATTGAATCTATACCGGTAGAGGTAAACCTATTCATCATCTCTTCTATACACAAAGACAAAAGACATCTATGAATAAGAGTTTTTTCCATCAATTTTGTAATTCAATTAGCTTCTTGACAACTGGAACATTTTGTTCATTTTGAACAAAAATTTCTTTTGATGCTTTTTTTCGTCTCTTCAATACAGAACTGAACGTAAAAAAACATGAAAAAGGGCGTTTTCACGTTCACAATCTGTCTGATAAAATGAAAAAGAATTTCAACAGTTTTGTCAAATCATAAATGAGAAGAAAAGAAGAATTGCTGTTGAAATGAGATTTTTGTTTAGTTGTTTTCAAAAGTTCTTTAGAGGAAATCATTCCTGAATGAAAGAGATTCTTGGCATTATGACAGTCATGGACGAGAGAGAAACTAAACGGAAAGAGGTTGAATATAAAGAAAAAAAGAATCAAACTATAAGGGAGAAAGAGAGTGTGATAGGGAGAGAGGAAATAGAAATCTAAGAATGAGAGATAGAGTGATTGAAGAAGTAAGCAGGTGGTGTCCTTGAGAATTCAGTTTCTCGCCTTTTGGCCAATAATTGGATGCCCATGTTTAAACTATTCCATTTGCTTTCGATGACATGTAATCTCGCATGGGTAAGAAAGCAGTCTCTCATCAAATTACATATGCAGTTCAAGCAATGAAAACGATTACTATTTGAAAGAACATGCCCAGAACGTTGTGAAAGTTCAAAGACTGATACTGTTTTCCAGACATCTCAAATGAAAAATGAACGGTCGATCCTGAGTGGACGGATGTCCAGGGAATTAGTCAAAGAAATCTCAGAATATGTTTACAATCTTTTGAGAGGGAAAACTGACGGTATGGAAGATCTTGTTGCTCACTCACCATACTACAAACAAAAAAAGACGGAAGAGCATTCACCAGACTATAAAGACTATATGGATATGATGGATGAGAGGTACACTTTGGCTATTTCTAAAAGACTGTTACAAATGAACTTCATAGAAAGCCATCTCGATCTCCCATGAATCGTAATAGACCAGTTGCTTTTGTTAAGCAATACAATGGACAGAATTCAAGAATGAAATACAGATATGGCGTCAGTAGGTATGTTTCACGCGGAAAATTTATAATTTTAATCGTTCGTGATCGAATTGACAACCAGTATATATGACTTTAAACTATATCTTGTTTATTCAGACATTTTTTAATTAGCACATACTTAACCTTCATTTGATTGTCATATCTGGTTTTTGCAAACATTCTTATCTTCCTGTAACTTCTTTTGCATCAAATTAGCATATTTCACGGAATTAGTCACGTAGAGCCACATACGCATTTCGCAACTTACGTCAACACACTTGATTACCTTATCCCACTTTCATTTCCTATACGCGTGCATGCGCCCAGCGGTTGTCTCTGTTCTCTATTTGAATTCCTCATTTATTCAATCAGATTCAAATATAATTTATTTTTCTTTCAGACGATACACTAAATCGACCTTGCCTTCTCAGTTCAAACGACGAAGTTTCAGCAGATTTCGGAGATTAGGCCAATAATTTTAAATTTTGTTTTTTGACCTTTACTCTTATTCTTTTAAAAAACGAAATTGACAGGTTTTCAAGCTTTCTTTGAAACTATTGTTCAGAACCAACATTCATACGGTTATATATCATACTTTTCCACTCAGCCCATCAGTATTTTCCCCTAGGTGACAGAACTTTCAAAACTTCAATGATTTGCATTTCTGTAAGACAACGTTCAAAGCGAATAAACTTTGAAAATTATATATCTTTGAATCTTTTTTATTACAAGAATCTTTGAGAAATAACAAATTTCTCCAACACCTTCAAACGAAAAACTATTTTTCCTTTCTACTGATGGTGGCAGGATGGATTGCATGGATTTCGGATATCGTCACTCCTTCAAGTAGACGTTCTCTGCTTTTCTCGATTTCTAATAATGTTTTTGCATACTTCCTACTTCCATTCACTGATTTTCTAATATGTAATCGTCTCGATTGAGATCCGTCTAATGAGATAATTATTGTGTTTCTTGATATAGACAAGAAACTTGTAGCCTACTTTGATCTTCTTACGTCCGCCTGTTTCTTAATATCTCCTTCCCCTTTTTTCTGTTCTACTTTCTCCTCCTATCTTAAGTAGGCAGTTCAGTTGTCGTCAGCTTCACCACACGGACGCTATGTCAAAACTAATATTTTTACAACTTCTGCTAATTCTGTATGTTCAATCCAATCAGGATCACTCTCCAACTGAAGCGAAGTTACAGGAGGTAATATTACTTGTAAAAGAAAAATGTCTGAAAAATGTAAATTCAAAGTGGAAGCACTTCGAAAAGAAAAGTCTTATTTTATTTCCTATTTCTTTCAATCTTTTGTTTTAATAATGTAAATTAAGCGATCTCATGCACGGGTTGCTGCTCGCCCACATCAGCGAGTGACTCCCCTTCCGCGAGTGACTGCACAACGGCGAGTGACTCCGCATCCGCGATTGAATAAGCAACCGCTAGTGACTACGCATCCGCGAGTGACATCTCGTCCGCGATTGAATAAGCAACCGCTAGTGACTACGCGTCCGCGAGTGACTTCACATCCGCTTGTGACTCCTCACAAGCAAGTGACTCCACATCAGCGAGCACCTCATCCATTGCCTCGGTATCGCCCCCAAACACCTCATCCTCCGGCTAGACGACCGGCGAATCGTCCAGTTCAGCATCCGGATCGGCATCGCAAACCTGTGGGTATTGTGTCTCTTTGGAATTGGGGTTAAAAAGTTTATTTGTTTTCCTAATGCAATGTTTTGGGTAAATGGTTTGGTGAGGAACAGAATCTAACAGAATTATTCTGATTTCTCTGATTTGAAAGGAATGGATTATTTTATCTAATCGCATCTCATTTTCCGTTCACAATGACCATTTTTTCTTACTTTTTCTGAAAATTGCGTTTTAAAGGCACGCTTACCTGCTCGTAAGGAATTCCGATTTCACCCCAAACCCCGTGTACAGTTCGCGAAGACGATGAGGAGGCCTGTTAAACAAATAATCCCTAGAAATCGTCTAGTGTATAAACGAAGAGTGATTAATGGCGTTGTCACCTTGGTGACCGAGCCCATATCTCCTGCCGGTTTTTCCGAAGATTTTAAACCCTCGTTTTCTTCTCAGGATTTTTCTTCTCCGGTAGTTCAAACGGTTCAATCGATCCCATCATCTTCTCCATCGTTGGTGGCTCCTTCTTCATTCCAATCTCCAATTCAAGAAAGCCAGCAACTGTCTGCATTCCAATCACTACCATATAGAGCTGCTGCACCTCGTACTCTACTCGAAAAAGAAGAGCTGCTGAACAACAGAGTTTTCAGTCTATTCCGAGAACTCAATATAACCAGCTTCATTCTGAAAACAGAAGAGTTCTCTGTTCGTGCTCTAGTTAGTCCTGTACGAACGCAGTTCATTCCAATCGAAGATCAGAACGTATCAGCTTACCATGGATTTGGGATTGACAGGCTGAGGTAAGTAGTGAGAGCTTGACTTGATTTCAAAATGTTTTTCAGAAGAGATCCTGCTGAGGCTGATTATTATGAGTTCAGAAAATTCTTGAACCGTAAAAATAAGAAGAACAAGAAGAAGAACAAGAAGAACAATCGTCATGGATTGTCCAATGACCTGCCATATGAACCTTTGCATAGCGACACATACTCCAGATATGGATCGAACCATCAAGACAGAAGCCTCTACGGTTTGAATGATGATAGAGTGAGTTTTTTCATCTCATTATTTATTAGTTTCCATCTGCCAACAAGAAACGAAATTGAATGTGATCTACTTCTTGATCGTTCTATTTCCTTTCTCTTATGCAAACGAATCTTGATGAAACCATTTCTGTAAGAGTAGAATACAAGTCTAGATTCAATGTTGAAAACGTTTTTTTTTCATAATATTAGTTGCAGTCGAGATTCTACAACTACAATGGACCGAACACATATGTTCCATCTTCCGGTCAGGACTTCAAGAAGAAAGCTTAAAGTGATATCAACGGGTTCCTAGATGTTTAAGCTTAATTCAATCAACTTGTACTGGTTATTTCGTTTTTGTATATTTGTCAACTCAAACTCTATAACAAAAAAATATTTTTCCGTTCTGTTCTTCATTTTTTATTGAAAAACAAACGAGTCTACAAAAGTTCGTAACAGGAACCGGAAGTACAGAACTTCTGCACTACATCCTCTCTGCAAACCTTCTCTATCAGTTGATATCACACGTTTCATATTTAATCTTCCTGTTTTTATGAGCTCAAAATGAAAAATATTTGTTCGATCAACACACATCAAATTAGAAACAAATCTTTCGGTTTTATTACATTTGACATTCAAATACAAATAAGTTATCCAAGTAAAGCATTCAGTATATCATGAGCTAACATCACGCGGTTGTTCGCATCTTGGTCTGTAACAAATTGAGCTTTCCCTTTCAATATGATTAGTTATGACATACTTGGATCTCGATTCCCGTTGTTCGCGCGTCCATTACCACCTCGTCCATTTCTGTTGAAGCCACCTCCACCATTTACACCGAAATCGCGATCATCGTTTCCTCGAAAGCCACCACGTCTTCCTCCATTGCCTCCAAAGCCATCGTTTCCACCAAAACCATTGCCTCGACCGTTATTCATTCCAAATCCTGGACCAGCTCCATTATTGTTCCTTCCAAAGCCTGGACCACCGCCAAATCCTCCATTATTGCGACCTAAGTCGAAATCTCTGCTGCCTCCAAAACCGCCATTGCCTCCAAATCCTCCACTATCCCCGTTCGCTCTTCCAAATCCGAAGTCGCCACTATTTCCAAATCGATTCATTCCAGATTGTCCAAATCCTCCTCTGCCTCCAAAGTTTCTTCCAGGTCCTACACCACCTCCTATTTCAGGTCCTCCAAATCCATCACCTCCTCCGAAGTTTCCAGGACTAACTCCGCCTCCACTGCTGGATCCACCAAATCTTCCGTTTCCTCCAAAGCTTCCTCCAGGACTGACTCCACCTCCAATTCCTGAACCACTGAATCCTCCGTTTCCTCCAAAGTTTCCTCCAGGACTGACTCCACCTCCAACTCCAGAACCACTAAATCCTCCGTTTCCTCCGAAGCTTCCTCCAGAACTGACTCCACCTCCATTCCCTGAACTACTGAATCCTCCGTTTCCTCCAAAGTTTTCTCCAGGACTGACTCCTCTTCCTACTCCTGGTCCACCAAAACCATCTCGAGAGCCAAAGTTATTGGCACCAGACGAATCACCAGGGAAACCGCTGTTAGAGGAGTCAGCAGACCCTGAGAAAAAGCGTTTTAAAAACTCTGAAAGTTATGCAAACATACAACTACTAGATACATCAATACCAGGAGGTCCAGACCTGTAACGTATTCTTATGATAGCGATGTAATCATCTGAGTCAATACCTTTGTGATGCAACAACATTTGATAGACACAGTATGAAGACGATTTTTCGCATTTTCCAAGGTAAAATCAAATGATTTGTTCGTCAGTGAGTTTATATAAGGATTTCATAGAGTGTTCAAAAAAGTGTTCAAAACAAGTTTGAACATTAACATTTGAAATGTGATTATCATATCGTGTACAACCCCAAGAAAGGAAGTTATGTGATTCGACTTTAAATCATTTATTGCGCATGAGTATAATGGAATAAATGAATGGAAATGAGACAATCAAACAAGTTTTTTAAACCAAAAGAAGAAGGGCAAGAAAACACTATGTTCATGGAAAATACACTTTGATTCATTTCTGCCATTTTGAGAACTTTTGAGCTGAAAGCTGGAATTACACGTGAGGTTGTTCGCAATGCATTTGCGAGAAAAAAAGAAGATTTTCTCTCTTGATATATTATGCTATGAGAAGTTATCAATTCTCTCCAATTACAGACAATAGAAGAAGGAATATGTTGAGAATGTCCAAAAATATATTCATGGCTGCAAAAACATGTTCTTCTGGGCTAATAGAGTATCTACGATTTCCCATCAACAACTGAAAAGATATGGTAGTTTGTGAATATTTACGATATCCTCTCATCGTACCTGAACATCAATAGCCAAATAGAACATGAAGAGTAACGATCCTAACAGAGCGTAAATTGTATATAAAAATGTGACATTAAAAGCCACACAAGCTATGATTGCAACGATTCCGTAAAAGAAGAGACATATCCCTAATAGAAAGGCTATTCCCATCATACTATAATAGTTGTTGATGATTAATGATTGAACGAGGTTAACAAGCCTTGTTAAATCTTTTTTGATGAATATGGCAAAGATAACCACTGAAGCCGAGCAAGCTGTAGTAATTGCCAGAGCAAGTAAAACTGATTGAACCGTGTAAGTAACTGTAATAGCTGATACCATCAATCCTGCAGCTAGTGTCTAAAATATAGCTTTGAGTCTCTTTGCTAAGCTTATGGATGACACATACGAATATCGCAAGGCAGATCATGTTGGCTGGAAAAGAACGACGTATCGATGTTACACAACTCATAAGCAAAGAAAACACAACAAACACAATCCTGCAACAATTACAAAACTAAATTTTTGAACTCGAAGAAAAAAAATACGCTGAAGGAATGTATATCCATAAGCCATTATCTAGATACCACTGTTTCACGCCTGGGATAGACATCGGAATAGCGCACATGATGGTGACCGTCAGAAACTGTAATATACTTTGTTATCCCTCTATGTTGCTACTTCCGAGAGTTGTTAATATTCCAATAATGTATTTTGCCTTTGTATATGAGTGAGATGAGCATATCAATCAGTAGTTCGTGATGTTCTAATCATATGATTTCAGTAAGATAAGTAGAACGATCATCGTAAGAGGTTTAGAAAACGACTGATTGTATGCGTCATCAAGACAAGCAAAAATCAATTTCGAATCGAGCAGTATATTAAACAGCACTCAAATACCTTACTGGTTTATAAAAGAAAACTGACCATTATGCTGACTAAAATGAATACTCTCCGGATGAAAGCTCTTCGGATGGAAAGTTGGCTGAACGAAGACAAAGTTTAAACGATAATTCCATTAATCAAAGATACCTGAATTCCAAGGTGAAATCCTTGCCGAACATAGCTTCTCCTTCATCAGGATTAGATTGAGCTCCAGCTTCGACATTCATTTTGTATCTGAAAAGAAATGAAAAAAGTATGGATTAGTGACATGATTGGAATGGAGTGACATTGGAACAATGGATTCAACTCTCGCTGCTTAAATAGAGAAGCAAAGGATGATTAACCACTGATAAATAAAAGTTATGAATAGATCATTATCAGTCGAATATAAATAATATAACGTGTAACTAAAGTAGCTAACTATAACAAAGAAATAAAACTTGACGAAAAGAGACGAGAGGCAGAAGGGAGTGCAGACGAAAGGCTTCTGAGTCTGAGTAGTAGACGAATTGCCAAAAACAAACATTGAATGTTTGGCTCCATCATGAAAAAGACTCATTTTTGAAGAGACACGATACAGAGAGAGAGTGGAGAGATAGAGAGATGAAGTCGGCATTTACTAATATGTAGAGAGTGAGAAGGTAAGAAATATGAGCAACAGCTTTATATACTATGACTCATTCTCTTTCATCATCCGATACGTGTTGTTGAAAAACAGATTATTTTGAAAAAAATTTTATTAAAAGGTAAATAATTAAGAGCATAAGGACCTTGATATCATTTAATTTTTCTCACATAAATCACAAAGGAGTAAAACGAGAAGATCATCAAATCAGCCGTTTGGGCGAGGGGACACGAAAGGAAGAAGTAGAGCTAGGTAAATGGAATTCGAGTATAACTATAGATGAAGCCAGAAAACAAAGTGGATAATCGCATTTCAAGGATAATATGGGGTAGCTGGCTGAGTCAAAGATAAATATTTGGGAGCTGTAATAGGAGAAAATATAAATGAATTCTGAGAAGCAGATTCGTCATGCTCTCTGAACACTCGTTCCCTAGCAACGGAGTGCCATATTAAAAAGCTTGTCATTTTATAGTTTAAATTGAACAAAAAATCCTTTTTCGGCCAAAACACTTCGACTGCGAACCCAGATTGTATATCTGGAAATATAATTGTTCGTCACTCCCCCATTAGCTGCTAATTATTACCTGGAAGCCCAGCCATCGTGGTGAGCGTCGAGATTCTGACCGACAATCGTTGATACAAGTGATTTCAGTGTTTCGGGGAAAGCCAAAGAACGGCAATCGTTGTGAGTGAGTAATTGAATGTCATGCTGCTTAGCAAAGTCTGATAATTCCGAAGCTACCTGAAAGAAATATATTGTAACAGTTACAGAGCAACCATGAGCACTTACAGCACAACACCCATCGATAGAATAATGATTGATGCTTGGACGATATTTCTTCACATTGTCTGTCAGAAGTTTCATACGATCAACATCCAGATCAGCGACTCCTGTAAGTGGAAAAACCTTCAGAAACATGACGTAAATCGTCTATGGGGTACATGTAGTAACACAGAATGCCAAACAAGTTTTTGGTTGAGACGCGAAGGAAGTCACCTGAACTCTTCGTCCTCATAGTAATCTGATGCTCTAAGACAGAAGGAAGAGAGGGATTTACCTAAGGTATGAACTACTCCTTCATCTACCAATGATTCCATTATTGCCCAAACATTCAGCACCTCTCCTAACCATTCCTCGTCGGATAAATCCTTTAATATCCGAGCTTTGAAAAGAAATAGAAAGCGAAACTGACCTCAGCGATAAGATATGGGAACGAGACAATCAGTTGAGAAACGGAAGTAACGGAATGAAAAGCTAAAAAGCTGCTAACTGCTGATTGAATTTCTTTTGGAGAGAATTCTGATAAGAATACCTTAAAGAACAAGCAGTGAATATATATACGAACAAGTTTCAAACATACCTTCAAAGTAATTTTCATATCTGAAGCAGCATAGTTAACCTGCTCGTCTTGAGAAGGTGCAAAGACACCTTTCTCGAGAACAAACTGCTTTCCAATATCTGCATAATGTTTCAAAGCAGTTTGGACTTCTTCAGCAGAGTTCTTGTGACGTTTAGTGACAATCTGAAAATGAAATCATCAATCAAAGCTAATGACAGGTGGAACCGACTTCAGTCAGGGAGTTCACGTTTCCAGTGGTCACTATAACAGGCTGTGAGGTCATGATTCCTGAAAAAGCTGATTGGAATGAACGCAATAGACGATTATATGAAAATTCGGAAAGTACAGTCCGCGAAGGAAACGAATAGAATAAACAGAAGGAGGAGGATTGAAAAACTTTTAAAAAGCTCATCATCATCTCTGTCGTATCGAAGAGGTATGGGAGAGCAAAGCTTAATAAAATAAAAAATGGCAGAAGAAGAGAGAAAAAACGAATAAAAATTACGTGGAATCATCGAGAAAGGATGACAAATCGTAAAAATCATTGTAATCTAAAATAATAATGATTGATGAATGACCGACAAACAGCCATTCGATCAAGTTCATATCTTAAGTTGTTGAAAAAACGTTTCGATTAACCAATATGCACCCAGAACGATAGGAGATGGAGGGAAGCGAACCCTAGAATCGATGAAACGAAAGAAAGTAAGAGCTGCGAATGAGAAAGAGACGACCATTGCTAGAGCTATGAAACAAAACAAGCAAAGATAGATGGACCAATCGATAATTCGGACAAAATCTCAGTGATAACTAACTATGCGTTTGACAAACGAAACCGTTTCAAAAATTAGAATAATGCGAGAAATTTTTGAAAAAACAGGGGAAAAGCCAACTGTCAAACCATTTTATAAAGTTAGTTTGTTTAGAAAGCTGATTAACTAAGCGATTAAGAGAATTTTGATAGTCTGCAAAGCCTAAAATAGTTACCACACATGATGGCAAGGTTGAGAGGGTATAGTCGTTTCAGTTGAAGAAAGAAAAAATGACAAAAAGACTGATAAGAAAGAAAAAAAAGATCAAAAGCTTAAAAATACAAAAAAAGAAAGACAGCATACACAAGAAGTATGGAATGAGATGAATAAATGAAAGAAAACCTGTTAGAATTTTATGGAGAATAAGATAAGAACTTGTATAATAACTATGTATGAGCCTGTTTACTATGCAATATAATGAAACAAATTATAAATTGACTGTTAAGTTCAAAAAGTATATTACAGACTATGCTAAGCAGCGCGAGAAAATCAATAGGCTGGTCGTTTCGTCAAGGCAGGGAAGAGAGCAGAGAGTCGCAGGCGCAACGAGAAGCAACTACGTTCATCCAATGAAACTTATGCAACTTGTATTTGGTAAGGAGAAGGACAGTTTGTTGGAAACATGTAAAGTTTGGGTCTCAAAGCCTTTAATAGACTAATTGATATTGAAAGAAAAATTTTATTAGAAAAAAAAGAGATTGTTAGTGTCGTTGCAACATGAACATCAACGTAAACACATATCAGCTTCCGAACGATTTGCGATGTTTTGTCATCCTGAATATTAGTTTTGTTAGTTTTCGCTCGATCACAATTAAATTATGAATGAAATAATTTAATTACTTTATGCCGTTTACAGACAAATGGTTTCCGAACGATCTTGGTCTCAAAACGAAATCATAAGACTAAAAGAAAGAGAGTAGAGTGAAGCAGTTAAAAGAAAAATAACCTCAGATTTTGGTGTGAGCAATGTATCCTCCCATTCTAGGAACGAATGTGATGATAGACTCTCGTTTCGTTCTCTATAAATGATTTTCCAAAAAATGTCATCAAAAATGATTAAATAACTTTTCATGTTCTAAATTAACTGCTGATAATCTTCTTTTATCAATTGGAACATATGCTGATATTTGTTTTGTGTCCAGAATATCGATAGAAGCTGCCTGAAAACGAAATATTAACATAATGACGTCATTAAAGTGACGTGAAACACGTGAGAAAATGTTCAGTTTCATTTAAACAACCACACTGAACGGTCGCATTCCAAGATTTTCATTTCATTTAATGAAATATGAGCAGTGGTCATGCCAAATTTTTTTTTTCGTTTTACATAAACAACTATAACTGAATGTGATTATTGCGTATGTTGATGACTATCTTTCTTAATTCATTCAGTCATTTAGTTTTTGATCATTGTATGCTCCAAAGTGAATTTGGGGTCTGAGTTTTATAACTAAATGATGATTTCGTTTCGTTCTCATTGATATTTTAGAATGAATTAGATGAAAATGATAATTACTTGAGTTTTTATGAAATCCAAATAAACACGATGCGAAATGACTGGGTTAGCTGAGCAGTCGAGATTTTGAAGAATTTTCATATCACATATAGGTTTCAAGGCTGAACAGGTTGTTATACTGAAATATTGTAAGAAGGATGTATCGAATTGCAAATGAAGATGTTCTTTACCTATTATGTGCAATATTAAGAGTTTTCAAGTTTGGGCAAACTAATCCATTGATGTCTTTCAGACGGTTATATGAAATATCCAAAGAGTTCAACTGATTCAAACATTTCCTTTTGATTGTTTTCAATAAGTTGCGTTGAAGATGAACCTCCTCCAAATACGGCAAATCTAACACTGAGCTGTCAAATCTGAAAACAGAATATGCTGTCTGAAAATAAAGAATTCGTTACAAAGTAAGTAAGTTATCATTCAAAATTAATTTTTTGAGAGACTGAAAATATTGAAGTCCAATTAGCGATAAGAGACTGCTGTTCAACTCATTTCCACTTATATCCAAAACTTCTACTTGAGAAAAAGGCTGCAAACGGATTTTTTTCATGTAATTCACGCTGAAACATACAATGACATCTTCCGCTTCATCAACCTTCGACTGTGACCAAAGTAATTTGATGTGGTTTTTCGATAAGTTTAACTTTCTCAAATTACTCAAATATCCAAGTTTCTTCACATTCTCAAACTGATTTCTTGACAAATCGAGTTCAGTTATTTGGTTCATTCTGCAACTTTCGCTTAAAAGAAAAATGTTTTTGATTTCACAACTTGTTGAGACATGGTTCATCCAGAACAATAATTTCCAACTTTTGTTCGACCATGGAGATTTTGGTTATTTCATCGAGATTTGGATACCTTCAATGATGAATATGAGGATTTTGATTTACTAACACTTATCACCAACTTTTTTTTCAAAACTTCCAGAGTCAATCCTCTGCCGGACTTGTTGAAAGATAGTATACGATCTTCTACGGGTATCTAAATTAGGAGATAATGTTTTCAAGTTGAATATATTCCACTGACATTTTCCCTATCTAAAGCTGACAAGAGTGGGAATTGCATGAGTAGTCTTGCTCTATAACCATCTAAAGAGGTTAACTTGTTTCTCACAAAGTCAATATAGGTTAGTTTTGAACAATTCTGAGATTAATGTTAGGAAAGCTTGGGAGAAAGGAAAAACCTTCATATTATCGACTTCTAGTTTGTCTTTCAACTGATTGTCGTTAGCGATGAGAACTTGTAGATTCACGCAGTTCTCCAAGCCTTTCAAAGATTTAATTTGATTCCTACTAACATTCAACACTTCCAAATCCTAAAACGATACATCAAATGTTGCAATGCTTTTCAGTTCTACCTGAACTTCAATGCAAAACTGTAGAGAGACTAAATGATTTTGTGAAAGATTCAAGTGTTTCAATTTAATCGGAAGTTGATCTGCACGCAGTATTTTGTTGCAGGAAGCATCGAGGAACTCTAAGTTCTCCAAAATCTTAAGCTTTTTTATTGAGCAAAACCGGTTGTTCTGAAATTTGAAAGCATTGTGGGAAGGTATGTCTGCAAACCTTCAAGCTCAAGTTGACCAAGTTTGGTAAAGCTTCAATGCCTGTGAGCTTATTGAGATTCATACTAGACAGATCCAAAGAGGTGACATTCAACTGAAAAAGCATTATTCACACTGCTTCCAATAACTACTGAAACTACATAAAAATCTGATAAATTAGTTTCGATATCGGGTTGTGAGAAAGCCAAGCTGATTTCCAGTGGAGTTCTTAAGGTTAAACGGCTGTTGTATCCAGGGAAGTTGGACCAACGATTTTTCAAACTCTGAAGATTAGCAACGTCCTTGACAGTGACTGCTTGTCTTGAAAAAAAAGTTATGTTAGGAACTAGGAAGTTCGTTTGGAACCCTGTTTTATTTTCCATTGAGTCTTCAACTGATGCGAATGTTGAGTCACATACTACTCGAGGAAGTTTATTTTCATCCTGAAAAAGAGAATTGTCAATCCTATTTGCGTGAATCTTTGGAAAAAAGTTAAATATATTGCAGAATCTATTCAGCAAGCAAGAGTTATAGGATTTTGCAAGATAACAGGTCACATGCGTTCATTTCTAAACGCTTCCATCTCATCAATTTGATTACTCGATCCAATGAGGTGAGAAGAGCAAAAAAAACGATTCAAATCTATTTTTTTAAAGGTTGAATCTATATTTAGTATGCACGTAATGAACCTCGTTCAATGATATACATCTAATTATATAAGGATCAGTAGTTCTCGAGATCATTAGTCTCAAATAAAGTTCACGTTCCACTTGCTCGCACTCGATCACCCAAAAGGTGGATTGAATGAAGAACTTGAAAAACGTTTACACGGATATCCAAATTGATCTGTAGATCCTTGAGTTTCCGGATTTCTTCATCAACAATCAAATCAAATTTGTCATTATACCTTCAAAAGCTTTATAAACAATTAGTATAATATGTATATTACTTGAGATAGTCCGTTGTTATGGATGAACTAGAAGGTGATACTTCAACCATCACGATACCCACAAGTTCCAAACTATGCCAATTGATGGTTTCATCGTTTTCTAAAGAAATTTTCTAGTTAACAACAGCAGTGATAGTATTACCTTTCTTAACTTTCTCATTTTTCATAACTTCTTGTTTGGCGATGGATACAATTGGGAGAGCCACTGTGGTTTCCTAAAGCATGTGGTGTGGATCTCTAGAACAACAGACATACAGTGTTTGGGAACTCTTTGTACAAGAGATCGAAGTCGTAGTAGACACGTGCACCTTCCCTTTGTTTCTTATTGAAATGATTCAGTAAATCGATCAAGTCGTTATCTGTATAGATTCGACTCTCTTTTGTTCTGAAGATGTTTATAATAAAAGACAAGACTTAGGTTGGATATGACTTATCAACGATAGCTAAACGATGAATCTCTCCCTTAGCTAGGGCTCTCCTCATCAAGATAGATCTAATGATTATCTGTGAAATGTATTATTAGATGTCCTAAAAATAATGGCTTACTTCATACTGTTGTTTCGCTGCACAATTGAAATTTAGGAAATGCTTTATTGTCGCTAAATCTTCTTCAGATACCTCTGGAAACAGTTCAGAGCTGCCAGATTCCATTTGAATGGAAATGCGATAGCTTGATAGCTTGTACGCAAACTTGAGAAGCTTTTTGTAGTTTTCTATTGTTCAATCGTAGTATTAGTGGATCATTTAATAAGATTTTCTTACTTTTCAATTTTTTAACTAGAATCACATTGCTTCTAAGAGCATCTGAAGTTCGTTTGACTATCTCACGTTTGACTGAAGAAAGTGAAGATGAAGAAAAAATGTACAGTCAGAAATATGACCACCAACCATCTTTATTAGGTAGATCTCCCATCACTTTGTCTAGAGCCTCGATAATTCTGCTCAGTTTAGTAATGGCTCGATTAGCATGGCGATCTCCAATCTAGTCACGCTTTGTTGTTAAACTATAGATCATGTGTACAAACCAAGCAATCTCTATGAAGAGAATCTTCCAACTTTGCAACTTTAGCATTTTCCAAGGATATTTTCACACAAGCTTTGGACTGAAAGAAAAGGTGAGAATAGAATGGAAAGTATGCACACAGCATAAGTTATGAAAAAGGAATCAGATATGTCGTCTTCATCTAGAGTTTCCAAAAAACGGAAATGGTAGGAAAGCCACGCATAACTTTCTTCAGAATAGATTGCAGGTGAAATATTAGTGTAAGGTGATAGCATTGAGAAGTTACATATCGACGAGCAATCAGAGAGTGGAAAAAGAAACTGAAATAAGCAAGAGTATACACTTCACGGATATTGTCGATAACCCTGTAGCTAGTACCTGGAATGTCTTAAATGAATTTGCGGATAAATCTAAGCATCGTAAGTTACATGGCCATCTACTGATCGTTCCTAGTTCTTAATTTTTTTATTTCGAGAAATTTTCGCTTATCGAGTACAAACCAGTTTCTCCTATGTTGTTGGAAGATAGGTTCATCGTATGCAAATTGGGTAATTTTTCTAAAAACTGAAAAAAAGAATGGTGAAATTCTAGACGTTTCAATGTCTCCTGTGTACTTTTAAATTACTCAAAAAATTATTTTGTAAACAGAGAATTTCCAGATTTTCAAGTTCTCCTATTTCATTGGCATTTTCAATTTCGTTCTCGTACAAATAAAGCTTTTTCAGCTTTTTACATTCACCTAATCCATCTAATGACTGAAAAAAATGGCTGTCGGTGTGAAAAACATCAAAAACATACTTTCAACTGCCCTTCACATATCCAAAGTTCTTCTAGACTTACAGAAACTTCAGACAATGGCTTCAAACATATAATTTGTTGGCCGAAGAGACATAATGAATTGAGGTTTGAAAAATACTTTAATCCAACTAGTACAGGATACGAGCCAAAAAACATTTCGAGCTTTTCACGTTCATGACCATGTGTCTTAATTAAGAAGAAGATCTCAAAGCAGAATGCACATAAGGAATACCTTCAATTGCTGTATATCAATACTGTTGGCATGGCAAAGATTCTGAAGGTATGACACATAAGAAGTCTTCATTTGAGTCTTCAAACTGAATATCTGACTCATTTTCAGCTATCTAGTAGTAGATGAAGTTTAGTGTTCGAAATGAAATTTAATTTTGTGAATTTCGATTTGCTTCGAAACTTTCATGCCTTCCACTTCAATGATATTAATACCTATGACCGGAAACGGCTCAATATGAAAAGACAGAGAGTTGCAGTAGTCTGATTTTACAACTCAAAGAACAGCATTATTACTTCAACTTTCAATGGTCAATGAGCATGAAGGCTGAAAGTTTTTCAAAAAATTTTTATAAATGATAAGAGAGTCTCAAACGGAAATTGCTCGAAGAATATGAAGGCGCAACAGAGATGCTAAAGAGAGAGAGAGAGAGAAAGATAGTTGTCGTGCATATCAGTTGGGTTTTCTTAAGAGCTATGAATTCTTTGAACTCTTCAGATTTGAAACACTCTACTCCCTCAATTCCTTTATGGCTCGAGTGTAGTGATGAAGAATCCCTATCGACACGTCATAACTCAATGTTCACAAAGCGAATATCCAAGAGTTAAGTGAATTTATTTGATTTTTATTTATTTCACTTCATACTTAGATGTTCTCTTGGCTGTGCTGCGGCAGCAAACATCAACATAGCCTGAGTTCATCCTATTAAACGATTAATGACAACATCTTCTTCTTCTACTTCTTCTTCTCCATCTTCATCGTCTTCTTCGTTGTCGTCGTCTTTTTTCGTTTTCATCTCTTCATATCTTATGCATTTTCATTCAAAACCCTCGCCATCTTTCAAAGCATTTGAAGACCGATGGATATATTCTTGACGACGTCTCATCTTCTTTCAAAACTTTCTTTATTTCTTCAAAAGAAATCTGAGATGAGACATTCCTTATTCAATCTCATCATAAACTTTTCCAATTGAACTCTTCATTCCTATCATATGTGTTGCCTTGAAGAAGCAAAAAAAACGAAGAAGAATGAGTTGAATACGAAAACGATTTTTTCTCTTCTCAAAAGCGTACTTTGAGCTCAAGTTTTGAGTTTCTTCCAACTTCTTAGCTGCTTAAAACAATGAATAACGGAATGAAAAAAAAATAAGCATATTTGATGCTTAAATATAAAACAAATGTTCGTTATCAACATGTTTTCTTGTCTCGTTCACATCATCTGAAAAGAAAGCTGATCATTTCGAATGTTTCCATTGAATTAGAGATTACATTTGAATAATCTTTGTGCCTGTGAGAAGCTATTTTCGTTCTAAGATACTTACATGTACATATAACTGAAAACCTTTCATTCATTTGTTCAATTATTTATTTGTTTCTAAAAATTATATCTTTTTCATTTGCTGGTTACTCTTCCTTGTTGTCTTAAATAATAAATTAGCATAGAATACGTGAGAATATTCACGTGAACACTCAGGCTACAACCATATTTTCATTTGAACGATTCAGCGGTACGTGGAACGGTTGTGTACATCTAAAGCTCTTACATATCTGACCAGAACTCCTTTCCTTTTTCTCTCTTTCCCTCCACATCCTTTATCATCATCCTGTTTTCAGTCTCTATCTCTCTCTCTCCTTCTTTATCTCTCTCTCTTCTTCGAATCTCTTTCTCCAGCTTGAAATGAAGTTTAAAATTTCAATCAGAAATGCAAATTATGTATTTTAAAATACAGCTTTTTAAAAGAAATTCCGTCCTTTTTATCATAAAATGTGTCACATTTGGCTTTTTTTCGCTGTTGCGAGTGTAGAGTAGTATGAGGAGGATGAAGCTGACAAATAAGAAGCTGAATAAGTTTATATTCATTTTCTATTTTATTTATTATTCTACCAATCTCACTTCAAGTTGTCGGCAACAAAAACGTATGGAAAGTGAGGAAGAAGGGGGGGGGGGGGTAGACTGAAATGATTCTGATTACCAAACATGGAAGCCAGATGTGCACTGTCCGCAAATGAAATTGTAATGTTTTCACAACTATTTCTACTAATATGAGTGTAGACATGGGAAAAAGTAGAAAAATCTTTTTCTTCCTGAATGCTGCAATGAAGTTGGAACCGAAAGAAGGTTCCTCATTGCAATTTTACGATTTCCTGTTTGAATCAACGTAATCCATATGTATGTTCCATAATTCTCAAATTACATCATAAGTTGCAAAATAAGCTTTTTGTTTGAGCATTAAGAGATAGATGATTGCATGTATATGCTAATTCATCTATTTAATATTATAATTTCGAGCGATCATTTGATCCTTTTCTGATTGCGTACACCGACTCAGGATCATCATCCTTTTCCTGCTTCCTCTCCAGAGCTTCCCATCTCCCTCTCTCTCTCTCTCTCTCTCTCTGCCCCT